GAGGAAGAGTATAAATAAAGCCGTGTGGTTAAAGAGAGTTTGTTGCTATGGAGACGTGATAGTGTGTTAAGAGCATCTCTGCAGCTTCGGCACTCTTGCACTCTCTCACTCCCTTTATCTGTGTCTCTGCAGACAAGACCGGGACATCGAGCCTGAGGACTTCCAGCGGTACACGGAGAAGGTTCAGACGTCCCTGCAGGACTGTCCGGTGCAGCGCCCCCCCGCTGCTCTGCTGTCCAGGCACAGCGCCAAACGTGGCCAGCCACACAAGGTAAAGACAAAAGAGAGGACGTGTCTTTGTTCCTCTGGTTGCAGTCTCTTGGCCCATTCTGAAATATTTCAATAAACACCCTCAAAGGTCACCAGGGATAAGTCCGGCCTCCCTCAGGGTCTGATGGAGCTGAAGAGCGACGACCAGGAGCCGTCGGAGCCGAACATCGAGCCCTGCTACCTCTCCTCCAGCCCCAGAGCGCCTCAACAAGCCTTCCACTACGGCGGCATCGCCAACAGCAGACAGCACTACGCAGATCTCCCAGACTCCTTTTCTGAGAGGTGCGTGTAACAAGCAACTGGAAGTAACCTCAAGGTCACGTCTGTTCAACAGCTCATCACGTCCTCACCACTAACTGCTCCCTCCACCTCCCAGGTCCCACTTCTCCTTGTCCCTGAAGACCCACTCATCCTTCGGTGCCATCTTCTACGTGTCTGATGTCCAAGAGGACAATTTCATGGCGCTCTTCCTGGCCCACGGAAAACTGGTGTACACCTTCAACGTGGCAGAGCAGAGGGTGAAAATCAAGAGTGAGAAGAAATACAATGACGGTGCATGGCACGATGTAAGTCCCTGAACTCGCTCCATCTGTCAGTTCTGTATGTAGCCTGTGTGTCATCAGTGTGTACGGTGACAACCCTCTCTTTTCTCCTGCTGAAGGTTATTTTTATCCGTGATGGGAGTAAGGGGCGGTTAATAATCGATGGGCTCACGGTGCTGGAGGACAGAGTTCAGAGAAGCAACATCTCCTGGCACGTCAGCAGCCCCCTGTATGTCGGAGGAGTTCCTCCTGGAAGAGCTCAGAAGAATATTCAGGTAGGTTAAAGTTTATACAATAAAAACATCCTCCGACACACATCAATATTCTATCAAGGTCTGTAGCACATGATATAAGAGTAACCTCTGTGCCTGCCAGAGTGAAATACAACTCTTTCATATGTGTGATAAACACTGAAGGTCGACAGTGTTCCTGGCCTGCGGCTTGGAAAAGATAAAAGTATCTCATGTGAACGTGCGTCCGTATGTTTGTGCAGAAGTTTAAAACAAGGATGCACGTCTCTCGGACAATAATAACCATCACATATTCAGCCATGCGTTAGTCTAAACATGGCTCAGGGGTCAGGTAGGAGGGGCTTAGGGAGGTCAGGACCGCCTCTCCGACCATTTTATTTCTTAATGAATTCAACTCCTCCTCTGTAAGAGGATCAATGGATTATATCCTCTTTAAAATATCATGTAGCCTCACTTTCATTTCCTTCTTTCTGTGATTTATTTTCCTTCCCTCTTCAGACAAACTCTGCGTACAGCTTCACTGGCTGTTTGAAGAACCTTGAGCTGGACGGACAGCGGCTGTCCTCAGTGACGGAGACGTATGGGGTCACTCGTTGCTTTGAGGGAGTCTCCGAGCCGGGAACGTACTTCTCAGAGGAAGGAGGATACGTCATGCTCGGTGAGTTTTTCCTCCAGCTACAACCTGAAACCAAGTTTGCAAAAGTGTTGATTTTGTGCAGTCAACCTCCCAGAGAGTAACACCACACTAAATCTAAAACTGTTTGGAAACTCAGCATCTGTTTTATTACACGGCTCATTAAATTTTTCTTTTGGGGAAACTCACAAGCCCCTCTGGTCTTTCACCGTCTCATGTGCGGGAGTGAGTGCGGCCGGGCAGGGGAACACGATACCCTCAGACGGGGGGTTATGTTATGTTATGAAGGCTCTGAGGAACTTAGGAAGTGAGCTGCAGCTGTTGAACAAGCCGAGTAATCTCCCATTACCGACCAATCACAGAGAGACGCAGCAAAGAAGGTGAGTAGATAAAGTACCCAGAGTTCATTTCGTCTTCTCTCTGTTTGTTTCCCTCCCTCAGATGAATCTTTTGACCTGGGGCTGAGGTTTGAGCTGGTGATGGAGGTGCGCCCCCGTGTGGCGTCCGGCGTGCTACTGCACGTGCGCACAGCAGAGGGCTTCTTCACCATGTACACTCATCAAGGAGCGGTGGGTCTCTTGCACCGTCACTCAGAAAAACTTCACACATTCTAGTCAGGGGAAATGTATCTGCTGTCCGGGATGAAACGTGGACACAGTTGTGATGTGTGTTTCCAGGTGGTGGTTCTTGTAAACGACGGCACCCATGAATTCTTCACAAAGGTGTCTCCAAGACAGGGTCTGTGTGCCGGCAACTGGCACAGGATCACTGGTGAGAATTTAAATCTTTAAAGTTTAAAGTCGGCTCTTGTCACTGACACAAATGCAAAGTTAAGGAGCTTTTGGGCTCAACTGACGAACTGTGTCCTGCATGATCTCAGTGATCCGAGATGCCAACGTTGTCCAGCTGAACGTGGGCTCCGAGGTCAACCACGTGGTGGGACCTCTGAACGCCAGAGCCGCAGATGCTAGAAAGCCAGTGTTCATCGGTGGAGCTCCAGGTGAGTCAGGAACACACAGCTTTTCCCCAGTGATAACAAACTCCACTCTTTCCTCATCACGTTAACGCTCTTCCTCCCTTCAGATCTTTTCCTCCCGGAGAGCATCCCCACCAGAAAGGCCTACGTGGGCTGTATGAAGAACCTGACCATCAATAACAGCCAAGCCAGCTTCAGCAAAGCCGTTCTGGTCAGTGGAGCCGTCAGCGTGGGAACCTGCCCGGCAGCATAACGCCTCCGTCAACACCCCCCCCGCTATCCCCAATACAGCACTGACCAAACACATTAAAAAAAACGTCTCTTTCTGTCAAACATAACCAAGAAGAGAAGTAATGTCATTCGTTTCACTGTGTCAGAGTTTTGTCTTTGTTCCTGTCTTTAACTTGTTGGGTCTTTTTTAATTGTTCTACATGAAATTGTCCCAAGAAAATGACCAAATCATCCAAATTTAATAGTGGAAAACAATGAATCATTTATGAGACAGTGAGATGTCAGGTTTAGAATCTACAGTGTATCAGTGGTTAAGACTACAGTTATTTTTACAGTGTGAAAGACACACTTGATATTAATGCATTTTATGGTCCATCACCCCGACTTTATAATCTCAATGACACGTTTTTTGTACAAGCTCATGCTCAAAACTCTCTCTTTTTTTACAGTTTTATTTCTGATGAATAAATAATGTTTTACATCCATATCAGCTTGTTTTATTTCCTGCTTCTTTTTCTTCAAACTATTAGAAGTGTGGTCCTTCTCACTTGCAGTATTGTGGAATATAACAAGCTAATACAGAATTTTCATTTGTGAATTGTGCTGACAAAGAACAACCTATTTGGAAAACTAGATATGAAGTGGTTCATTTTGTTCTTGTTGTAAAAATACAGCTACTTGAGATAAACGTGGAAACACTGCCCTCTACTGTGTATTAAACTGTACTTATCTTAGGGAGATGATCAATGAGTATCGACACTCATTCAGTCATTGTTGAACAGCTGTTGTTATCATGTCGGTGTAGCCATGAGTTATGTAACCATGATATAAAATCCAGATAGTGTAGTGATTCTTTTTATAGTAAATATATTTGACTCCCTTATATATCTGTCACGAGACGTCCAGCTGTTATAAACTGCTGACAGATGATCAGTTATATTTATTCAGGAGAGTATATTTATTAATCTATTATAATTGATTTTCATTTTATTTACAGTGGATAAATAATACATTATTTAACAGGGGCGGAATAAGACATTGTAAACATTCGGGCCTTAATCCCTTAACAAGTAAATGTCTTCACGACTCGGAGCTGAATATGAGGCCAACAGAAGAACATTTACTCTAATTATATTAATTTTCTTTACTATTCTTTAAAGAAAATTAATATAATTAGAGTAAATGTTCTTCTTCATCATAGGATAAACAACATGTACATGCACTGTAATATTATCAGACAGTATTTTATTTGATCTACTCTGGATCACTCTGTTCTCATTCCCTCCTCTTTTCTTCTTCTTTCACTCTCTCAGCTCCACTCATCCGTCCCTGGAAAGTCAAATTTACATGATAATCTTAATAAAGTCCCCAATAGGCTTCTCTAATGACTTTAATATTTATACTTTTAGCCTGTTATTTTCCCAGATGCTTTGAGGATGAAGCATTATATCATAATCATGGATTGTGCGTTTAAAGGAGAATCCAGCCCTTTTTAAGAATTCACATTTGTTATTCCTGAGCCCCACAACAAACTGGTGAATATTTGTGAACATGCAGCACTCTCAAAAATGTGTGCTTGAAAGTTGTAAATATTAGAAAGATCTTCACTAATGCTTTTCATTTGTTTGTAAATTAATTGAATGTATTCACAGATATGTTTTTATTTGTGATATTTGTTTTCATTTTATATTTGTGATATTTTTGTATTTGTGGAAGGTGTTTTATATTTACAGCTCACACATTTAATCATTGATTGTCCATCAGTTCACATAAATAATATTGAGACAAATCTACCTCCATACCCATTCATTTTTCTCTTCACCTGCACAAGGTGCAGTCAGAGAGACTGAGAGGAAATGACACCTGGTTGAAGTTATAAATATAAATAATTTCATAATAAATTTCATATAAGATTCAGGGCTTTTGGGTAAAACACCTGGGACTGGAGCCCCATAAGCCGCCCCCCTCGCTCCGCCTATGGTATTTAACATGAATTGGTCTCTGAACTCTACCGCTTACGTAACGTAACGCCGTTTCCATGGCGGTTTCCACGGCACACGTCATCAGCACTCGACCAAACACAGTAGAGGCGCGAGTCTGAAGAAGCGTTCAAAAGGTTTTTTTTCACGAAACTCCTTTTAATGGACGGTTGAGGACAAATGTTAACATTAAGTATGACTTAGTGTCTGTGTGTCGCTGCTGCCATGACACAGTCGGTTGTTGTCCAGGGTGAGTAAAACTCGAGTGCAGGTCGTTGAAGTTAGCTTAGCTAGCCGCCAGTTTGCTGTGTTTTGGTAGCTAGAAACTGAACTGTCGTAACGTGTAGCTCCATTTCTTGTTGACGGTTGGTTTACGGCTGATTTAACGAAAGGTCGGCTCAACTGGTGGAACAATTTCCTCCCAGATGTTAACTAAACTTTGCACTCGTGTTCTTCAGTCGGACAGTGCGGTAACCAGGTCGGCTGCAGGTTTTGGGATCTTGCTCTGCGAGAACATTCCCATGTCAATAAAGTAAGTGCAAACCCACACACCATACAGCAACAGCACTCTTTCTACTGAGACCTTACACTAACACAACTCCACGGACAGTACACTTTCCTATCCCATATCTGCTAACGCTGTATTTGATTAGACTGAAGATGTTTTTTTTAAACAATACACATTTCGCACATGTTTGACGTCATAGGAAATACAGGAAAACAAAGGTGTAAGTGATAACAGTAATGTTGGATGCATTCCATGTTTTACTGTGACACTTTAAACATTAATTCATGTTATTACCTACACCTTTGCTTTTCTGGCTATGGCAGGTAGAAATGTGAGGCTATAAACCAGTATTAGGGAAATACAGTTTACATCATGGGGTTATTGCCTGGCAGCACACACCAGCCCCTACCTTCAGCTATCCTCACTCATATTCACTCACCACATATCTATCCCCTACGGTGGCCCTGAGAGCTCACAACTTCAGACAACATCATCACTTTTGAAGTTAAAAGCATTGAACAGCAAGTGTGTCCCAGCCAGGTTCATCATTTTTCTCATTTAAGTTATTTTTTTGCAGGAGGTAGACCCCCTGTTGTCAAATTGATGAAGATGTTTTCTGAATTTATTTGTGTTTTGTCTGTTTGCATGTGTTTTCTTAAGTTGTTTAAATTGTAATGGTCAGTACAAAAACATTTAAAAACTATAGTAGTTTGACAGAACAATGAAAGATCTATGGTACGGTGCAAAGGTTTTAGGCATCAATCATGCGATGCCATCAATGAGGCATCTGATTGGTCCCAAAAACAATTCTTAAGCATGACAACAACGTTAAACATTCAGCCAGAGTCTTAAAGAGCTACCTTAAAGAGCTATCTCTAACAGATGGTCTGGCCCCCACAGAGTCCAGATCTCAACATCATGGAGTCAGTCTGGGATCACATGAAGAGACAGAAGACACTGAGGCAGACTGCAGCCTCCGCACATTGCTATTGGTGCCTAAAATGTTTGCACAGTGCTGCTGTTCATCTAAAACAAGCCTTTTGGTTTTAATTGCCCTTTTTTTTTTTTTTTTTTTACATAATACAGTGCAGTCCGAAGGTCTGAGACCACTGGTCCTATTCACTTGATAGGGAACGTGATCTCAGACTCTGTCTCAGACCCCACTGTATATTTTAATTTCTTAATTATTCATTATATTTCAAATCAGTCATATCACAATCAACTGAAACGTCATTCACTATTGATTTGTCACGATGTGGAAATTAACGGAATGAAACAATTAAGTTGATTGACAGAGAATGAGTCACCAACCTTTTGTTCTTTAGTCTTTTTTTGGGGGGGGTTGCCTTTTGCTAGAGTAGAGGAAACATCAGTATTTTTTTAAATTCTGAAAACTAAACAATTATTCATTAATCAAAAAAACTATAGATTTATCAGTAATGAAATACACCACTAATGAATCAAGAATTGAGTCAAATAGAATTAAATCAGTTTAAGCCTTACATCATTTATAGAATAATTCCAGTTTACTACAACTCGGGTTTTGGCGTTTATTCCTGTTGTTTACCTTTTTAATAATAAATTTGTACTCGTCAAAGTAATTGCTGAGATCTTGTACCGAATCTGTATTATTATTATTGTTATTTATCATGTATTTAAAGAAAGCCTGTTCTTGTTTTGCTCCCTCTCATCCTGTAAAGACAGACATGCAGCCACCATAAAAGCTTTCCTAATGTCCTGTTTTTCTTCTCTTCAGAAAGGGTTGTATGATGAGGCTCTCAGTAGCTTTTTCAGGAATGTGGACTCAAGGTAATCACAACAGTTTTTAATCCACTAACTGCTGCATGGGTTGAGACATGTTTCCGCCACGCTGGTCCACATGTAGACCTTTTATATTTGGTGTGCTTTTCCAGGAAAGGTGACGGGAGAACCTGTGGTGTCGGAGGGAGAATCCAACATCTGAAGGCCAGAGTGAGTTCTGCCGATTACTAGAAAACTAAAAAATATCTTCACATGGTTACCGGCTTATTTTAGAGTCGGGGTCAAGGTCAGGATTTGGGTTTACGCAAAGAATGCTCTGGCATCCATTGGTTAAGGTTACAAAGAGGAGTTATGGAATGATGGCGGGGGGTCAAAGGCATGTGCTTGAACGTATGGCGATGAAACACATGTGCTGGCCTTCAACTCGCATTTGGATCCACAGGCGGTGCTGGTGGACATGGAGGAGGGTGTGGTCAACGAGATCCTTCAGGGCCCGCTGCGTGAAGTGTTCGACAGCACTCAGCTCCTGACGGACGTGTCGGGTTCAGGCAACAACTGGTGAGAGACAGACGAGCCACGGGACGCCGTCTCACGTGCTCACATGGCCAGGAGCAACTGCTCCCAAACCATAATTTTTAGCATGTGTGTTTTACAATCGTTTACACATGCAGTTGCATCATACCGCATGGTAATGTTGTGGTGCTCAGGGATTGAAATTGGAATTCTAAAAAAAAGCAATAAATAATGAGAGGATTAAAATCTTCTTTCTATTACGGCCACCACATTTCAGATTCCCAAGAAAATGACAGAACAAGAAACAAAGGAACAGCCTCAGCAACTGGGTGACTTTTACTTATTTGCCTCTTTTCAAGCTCACATAGTTTAATTTGGGGGAAAGGTCATTGTTTCTTGGAAGGGCTGCTACGAATATTCCCTCTATACATTTTCTTGAGCCTGACAGGCATTGAAGAAAAGAAAGTAGAGACCATCTTCAAAGGGATCATACCAACCACAACACCAGGACCACATTTTTCCATAATTACACACTTACACACACACACACACACACACACACACACACACACACACACACACTAGCAGCCACGCTGTCATGGCTGGTAACAATCTCTATTCACAGTTACACGTCTGTCAAGCAGGATTGTTGGTCAGACAGTGGGGGGTGGAACCTTCAGCATATTAAATGGGAGTTCACAGGACACAGAGACGTGTGTTGTGGCTGACTTAATGTTGGTGCTGTGCTTATAGCGTATAGATTTCCCCTGGAATCCTGGTCTATTTCTGCCTTTTATTCTGAAGTTTAAAACAAAAGTGGAAGGAAAATATGCAGGGAACTGACTTTTTAAAATTCTTACTAAATCATTTACTGTATCTCAGCTGCCAGCAGCTTAAAGCTAAACATGCACACACACACACACACATCACATTCACACATGCTGCAACTCTTCACAACATCTGCTAAACCTGAGACTCTTTATTCTTCATGTTAAACTCTTTAGTTTCATGTTTTCATCAGGACTCTCTAAAGTCAGATTGCATTTTCTCCACCACTTGAATGAACCCCTCAATTCATAATTCAGACTTTTCATCATAAACATACCTGAGGCTCAGCTCTCACTCTGACCCATGAGACAGAAAACCACAGTGTTGTTTAAATACATGAGCAGCTCAGCAGCCAGCTCTGATGCTCTGCGTCCTCGTGCAGGGCGGTGGGACACATGACGTACGGCTCAGCTTACAGGGAGCAGATCGTGGAGAAACTGCGGAGGGCAGCAGAACACTGTGACTGCCTGCAGTGCTTTTTTCTCATTCACTCTATGGGAGGAGGTGAGGACCAAATGTTTACATGGAAGTTCCCTCATTGAAACATTAACTCAGTAAATTCATTTTGTACAGGTTCGAGTGCAGATGCTTCTGCTAAAATCTATAGACTGAATCACAAACCTCGTGATGCCAGACACTGCTTCTTACAGTTCATTCAGTTATTCCACTGTGGAAGCAACATGTTCACATTTACTGAGGCCAATTAGTTTCTGTTTTAGTCTGATTTAGAGTGTTAAGTTAATTAAACAGAAGGACATCACTGCTTTAATTGATGTTTCCTTCCATCACTGTTGTCACAGCTACAGTATCCCCACCTGAAGTCTTTGCAGTGCTCATGCACAGTTATAAAAAGGGATCAGGTTACCTGTATAAAAAGCCAGAGAATCCGGTTTCTCTAATCCCTCACTGTGGAAACAGGTTTCATCTAAATAAATCAGGTTTCTGCTGAAAGCTTCTTTCTTTAGTCATACATGCTCTGACTGAATTTGAGGTACTGGCTCTGGCTTGGGGACCAGAGTGCTGAGTCTGCTGGAGGAGGAGTTCCCTGAGGTGTGTCGCATTGTCACCTCCATCTACCCATCTGCGGAGGATGATGTCATCACCTCCCCTTACAACAGCGTCCTGGCCATGAGAGAGCTCACAGAGCACGCCGACTGTGTCCTGCCCGTGGAAAACCAGGTCTGTGTATCTGTGAACGTTTCACACACCCACCCCCCCCCCATCTCTCTGCTGTGTGTGCACATCTAAACCATCAACGATTAACACCCTCTCGTGCTCCCTCTCGTCTCCTCCTGTAGTCACTGGTCGACATTGTGAGCAAGATCCAACACATGTCTCATGGGGCGAAGCCAGGGCAGGTGATCAGGAGAGACAGCGCCATCATCTCCGGACGGGGCGGCCTCAGTGCGGCAGAGAAGCCCTTTGATGCCATGAACAACATTGTGGCTAACCTGTTGCTCAGTATTACCAGGTATAGTATCACTGTGGGTGTGTTCATATAGAGGAGACCCATAGGACCGCAGTGTTTACTTTACATGCTGCTAAAATATTCATGTCACTTCTATAAAACTATAATATAACACTCCTAACACCCTGACTTGTAACATAAAGGCCAATACCAATTTCTACACCCTCCACCTCTTCAACAGAAGGAGCAATTAAGTTAAATGCCAGATTCAGATTGGTCACTAATCACAGAAAATAAAATGTGTTAGCAAGGCGACAACTCTCTCATCCGTAAATCCAAAATCTCCCGTTTTATTCCGTTGGTTTGAGATCTGTGAACATTCAGTGAGAACACAGAGGCACCAATGGAAACATTTGTTATCTATTAGTTGTATTTGTCACCAATCTGTCGTTTTCTAGTCTGACGTGAGGGAAGTTTTGTGAGTTATGTGGTTATGGCAAATTTTCATCTGTTTGGTTGCTCATGCGTGCACACACCCACATTCCTGGCAGTAGTTTCACCCTGTTCCACTGATCCATAATGCAGTAACGTGCAAAAACAAAAGCCGGGAAGAAGAAGAAGAAGAAGAAGAAGACAGCCTGCAACTTTTAGAAACTGTTGAAATATTTGGGGGGAAATAAACAGCTTGTGTTTTATAAAGAGGGAAATGTGTTCAAACGAGGTGTTTTGGTGAGAAACGGTGAATGCAAACAAAAACTTGTGACACAAGTCGCATCAATTAGACTTTCCTGTGCGTGTAAAAGCTGCTGAGGTGTCGCCTTTAGTTTCCTGTGTTATTTCTCCTCTGTTTCAGCTCGGCGCGTTTCGAGGGTTCCCTCAACATGGATCTGAATGAGATCGCCATGAACCTGGTGCCGTTCCCCCGTCTGCACTACCTGGTGCCCAGCCTCACCCCTCTCTACACACTGGCCGATGTCAGCGTCCCCACCAGAAGGTCTGCCGCCGCTATTTTTACCTCACAGTTGTTCTGAGTCCCGCAGAGCTCCGGGTATTTAGCTGACAGGAACTCCATCATCCGTTCACACGCGTCTCATGTTGACCGCGGTGATGAGGGAAGCCCCTGCAGCGATGACCTCACCGAACACAAGTGTGTAGAATTTGTTTACGCCGGCATTCCAACTGTTGTTTGAAACGTGATGAAACGGCGCCGGTCACGTGGAACAAATGACTAGATGTAACGTAGATGGAGCTGGGCGACGTGGTTAGCATCACAATATAAGAACTGTTTGTAGTTTGTATAAAGCTTTCATATAGACATGATGGATCGTATCTTCGTGATGTCAATCCACTGACACTCAGCACCAAAGAGGAGTAAGAATCCTGCCTAACTGTAACATATTTTACATGAGGACGCCTGATTTTACCCACAGATTTTAAAATGGTCCAAAAGCTGAAACATGGCTGTTACTTCCTGTTCTGATCAGCACCGTGATTTAATCAGGAGTCAGTCTCAACACAGCACAGAGCCCGGCCTCCACTTCATCAAGTGAGACAGTGGCAGCTTCAGGTTTAGTGCTGCAGGATTGCGACAGGAAAAAACACCACTTCACCCACCACCCAACCACCCCCGCCACCACCCACCCCAACACCACCACCACCCACCACCCCCCCCATCCCCCTCAACAACAACTGCCATGAAAGTGGCCTTCTGTGAGCCATGGAGACCAAATCTGCCTCAGCGGCGCAGCTCATTGGTCAAAAAGAGTGGTGGCTGTGCTGGGCAGCTCCCAGAGCTGAATGTATGTGACTGTATGAATGCAGAGCAGGGTGTTGCTTAAAAATATCTTTCTGCCTTCTCAGCAGAACGTCCCTGAATAAATACAAGGTTAAAGAAATGCTGCTTTCTCAAACATCGGCCCGTTGGCCCCCAGTCTGACTCCACTGTACCTGAAATCTCTGCAGAGACGTTTCACTCACTACAGTCAGTAAACAGAGACTGAAGAGGCAAAGGCTGTTATTTGTCAGTTCAAATGTAATATCTGAAAAGATTTTAACTGCATTGATATTTTTTTTTAAGTGGAGTGATGTGGAAACGTCTCCTCTCACTGTTCCCTCTAGACTGGATCAGATGTTCAGCGACGCCTTCAGTAAAGACCACCAGCTGATCCGAGCCGACCCGAAGCGCAGCCTCTACCTGGCCTGCGCCCTCATGGTCAGGGGCAACGTGCAGGTGTCTGACCTCCGCAGGAACATCGAAAGGTCAGAGCGCCGTCTTCCCGCTCAGTCTCCATCTCCACTGAAACAGACAACGAACCAGTACGCCCGCCCTGATAGGCCCAGTGATGACCTTCACTCTCAGGCTCTGGAATAGTGCCTCCATTCAGCACTGACAGCAGTGATTCATGACTGGTCCATTCAGCACCCATCTCTCCTCTGCTCTCCCTGCAGACCTTGTTTTCCTGTGGCACGTTGTCAAGAGAAACTGAAACAGAAGCCGGTGTGAGAACACATATTTATGCGTGACTGTGGTTTAAATGAGGAGGGGGGGGGAGGGGGAGGAGGGGGAGGGAAATCACAGAAATATTTCCCACCAGAAAAACCAGAAAATAACTAAAGTGGAGACCTCGTGCTCTACATTTTTGTTCCAACAATCATGTTGACGGATGAATTGTTTATTTATTCCAAGCTCACCTTGGAATCTGTCAGTCTGTGATTGACCATTGTCTTATATTTCATTAACCTAATTATTCATGGGAGAATAATCAGCAGATGAATCAATAATGAAGATAATCATCAGTTGCAGCCTCAGTGTGTTGAGATCCTTATTTCTGTACTAATACCAGCATTAACAAATAATCCAGTAATAGAGCTGTCACGCCGATTCAAGTGTAACTCTGTTTATAGTGAAATGTAAAATGTCGCAGGCGCCTCAGGAACCGTGTGACCCTCTGAATTTCTCTGGTCCCTGTTCCAGACTGAGGCCGTCGCTGCCCTTCGTCTCGTGGAACCAGGAGGGCTGGAAGACGGGCCTGTGTTCGGTGCCTCCCGTGGGTCACTCCCACTCCCTGTTGGCCCTGGCCAACAACACCTGTGTGAAGCCCACATTCGTGGAGCTGAGGGAGCGTTTCACCAAACTCTACAGGAAGAAGGTGCATCTCAAGTCACTCCATGTTTTCAGACCGTTGGAAGAAACAACATACTTAGATGTACTCTAGCTTTTGCTATCATTGTTTTTATCTGAGACTATTTTACATATTAATTAATATATTTATATATTAGGGCTGCAACTAACAATTATTATTTTGAACCATCAAATCTGACACAGAAACACAACAGAATCTTTGGGTTTGAGTTTTTGAGACATTTTTGTTTGAAAAACAGCTGAAGCTCTTTATCATCAAGATAGTTGTTCATGAATTTCCTGTTGATCAACTCATTATTTAATAGGCTTAAATTTTAAGCAAGTAATAAATGAGACTGAGTGACTGTAAGTTCTTCTTCTTCTTCTCTGTTGAAGGCTCACCTGCATCACTACCTGCATGTCGAGGGGATGGAGCAGAGCTGCTTCTCGGAGGCCATCGCCTCTCTCGGATCACTGATTGAAGAGTATCATCATCTTGATGCCACCAAGGGGACGCTCATGCCCGACGCACCCAGGCTCAGCATCAGCAGATGAAGGTCCACTCTGTTGTAAATCTATTTGACTTTTCTCTTTTCAAGCTTTGTTTTCGTCCCATTCTCGTGGACGCGATATCGCAGTAACACCTTGACGAAACTTCATCAAAATCGGCACAAACATTCACTTGGACTTAAGGATGAACTGATTATATTTTGGAGGTCAAACTAGCCAAAAACAACTTCACACAACCAAATCTTTTGTATATATTTATATTGTTGTAAACCTGATTAAAACATCGTCTGTCTGAAAAAGTAAACAGCAACAACCTGTTGAAAGAAAGAGTCGGACTCGATCTCTTTTGCCATTTTCGGCTCCCTGACCATAATATTATGAGGTACTCTTAATGAGTCAAATCTGCTTCACGTTACAGCTACTGTACTGGCCACAGTCCATGTTGTTATTGCACATACGTGTCCTGAAGACAGGGTTCATAAAAAGGTTTCATCAGAGCTAAGAGCGTTTTTTCTTCGTTAATGTTCCCCGCCATTCTTCCTTATGAAATGAGGTTTTGTAGTTTCAGTTCAGGGGTTTTGTCTTCAGCTTCCTTGGGGCACATCACCACAGCTGAGGAGAACTTAATAACCACAGCAGGATCACACCCTGTGTCTGTGTCTCTGGGCGTCTCACGGCGGCGCCGTTAAAGTAGCCGCAGGTCGGAGAACATGTCACCCGGGTTGTTGCACTTCCTCTGGCACACGCAGGACGTTATCCACTGCATCTTCCACTGTGTGTTGGAGCCTTCTTTGCAAGTGAAGCTGACCTTGATCATGCGGGACTTGTTGGGGACGCAGCAGCGCTTGTCTGTGCAGACACCGCAGTACGTGGGCTTGAACTTCTTGGTGCTGGTGCAGCCAGAGAGCGTCAGCTTCTCCGCTTTCTTTGCCTGGAACTTCGGCCGGCACGTCTTTCCCTTTGCCACCTAGAGGTGAAAACAGTGATGAGTACCTTTTTGAATTTTATATAAAACAATACCTGAATTTGACTTTAACTTAGTCACCTTAATGCTCCGAAGCACAGTCTTGTCACATGGTCGCAGCAGGCACAGGCGGCGGTCCTTCCTCATCTCACATTTGCCGTTGTCGTTGTTGACGCGCACGGAGATTCCCAGGCCGCAGGTCTTTGAGCAGGGACTCCAGGGCGTGGTCTGGATCAGACAGTTCTTCCTCCAGGCTAAAGGAGGATCCCTGTAAGCTTTCATTATTACAGTTAAAGGGCATTGTGTCAACAACACCCCACACAAAGTGCCAAGCAACCTAACACCAAATGATCCACCACAAGGGAATTAATCTCCCGCTACTGGTGAATATAAGATGGTAAACTTCTAAATGTTTCCAGTGACAACATTCACTGCAGCACCCAGATCATTGTTAACTTAGTGCAATTAGAAAGAAATGCTCTTTTAAACATCCAAAAAAAAAAGGTTTCATCTACTTTGTTCTGACGTCAGCTGTTGGATTTAAATCAAACCACGAGCTTTGTTTTTCTAGTGACACATTAAGTTTCCCAAGATCAGAGTTTCATGCAAAGCAAAGCAAAACCCCACCTTTTAATAAGATGTGAGGTTATAACAGGATCCAGGCTTCCTGTGAAGCAGTCTAACCACAGCCAGTCACACCTCCCTCCTCCCTCTCTCCTCGCACTACCAGAGGAATGAGATAAGCCCTCCCCCTCCCACCTAGCCTCCTCCACAGGTTTACTCTATAAACACACACCTGACATGTAGGTAGTGTCCTGCTGGTGCTTCTTCGGGCTCTGACCACTGCGCAGGCCGGCTGGCAAGTTGCCCATCAGCGGGGCGGTGCCTAAGAGACCCGCAGGCTTCTGGATGAAAGCAGGGGTGCAGCCAATGGCTCCAGCAATACATGTGCACTTATAGAGGGGGCTGGGCTGGAAAGCCTCTCCGTTCTCATAGTGGGCCCCATTCAGATCGCAGCCCACCGCCATCATGTCTGAAAGAAGAAGAAGGGGGAGACATCTCAGGGATCTGGTGCTCACTGCTGCTGGCGGTGCTCCTCCCTGGTCATGTGACGGCGAATCTTACGATGAATGTCAAATGGTCAAAAGGAAACGGCGAGTGTAGACCATGGATGCTGCGTTCAAAGACGCTGCTTTATTCATTCCTGACAGACAGACGCTGAGCTTCTACAGGCTCCCTCACACTTCTGCATTTTTGCAGAGTTTTGTCAGTTTAACCTCGTGACTTCCTTTTGGCTCCGTGAATGTGATTTAATTCTTTGTACATACTCTCCTAGACTTCCAGTTGTTCCCAACCTGTGGGTCGTGGTTCGTATAAGGCCCATCACTGTGATAAGCCAATGATGTGATACTTTTTAGTCGTCGCCGGCTGGACCACGTCGTATACTTCCATTGTTACGGGATCCAGTGTCTCACATTTTTGAGATTTGCAAGTGTGCCATGAGTCAGAAAAGGTTGGGAACCGCTGGGCTTATTCTACTGTCTGAACTCCCGCTCACAGCTGCAGTTAACATGCAAATGTTTATTGATCCTGACTGAAATTATTCCATTTGGAAGATTTCAGGTGTTTACATGGGAAGTGATTGAAAGTAGCCTGGTGTTTACGTGCACTCATGCATTCAGTCAGGACAGCTGTGCGGGATGCGCAAAAGTGATGAATATGTCATGTGTGGAGAAACGTAAACGTACCTGCTGACCAAACCAAAAGAAAAGATGAGAGTCACTCACATGCGCACACTCCGACCTCGTATCTGGGCTGGTCTGCTGAGAAGTCGCAGTACATGCCCTTGTGCGGGTCGCAGACGTCCCTCTCGTTGCACGCTTCTCCGATCTGCCTGGCGCAGCTCTTGCAGCAGCCGCACCCGTCCAGGACGGCGCTCACCCCCGGGGCGCAGTGAGCTCTCTCCCGACACTTGCAGGGCCACTGGCAGAACTGCCGCCTCTCAGCCGCAGACTGTCCGCCTCGAGTGGCCTGCAGCTGCCCATTGTTCTGAGCCCTGCTGAAGCACTGGGTGAGCAGAGGGACAAACAGTCTGGTTGCTTTTTGCTGACCACTGGATTGAAATCAGAAGATCATATTTGCAGGATTTTTCAGATAAAGCGCTGTTTTCAATGTTTGATAACTTTGGCGAGCTGTTGAACAAGCTAAGAGCAACATTTTGAATGTGTCATTGATGTGGAAATGTGCAGGATTTCACTGTTGTAACTGTACTGACTTCTGAACACTTTCCCATACAGCAAAAATATCAATATTCTTTTGTGCAGCTTGTTGTGAAAGATTTTGAATGTATGTAGACTTGTAGAGATTAGAGACTGTAGTGACACATTCGTCTACATCTGTAATATGTCTTTCTTTGCATCTGGACGGCCATGGCGTTCATCAGTCCATCAGTCTGTCTGTTCAACACTTTGGTCCAGAAAAAGATGTTTCGCTCCGTTACCATAAAATGTTCATGGTCAGAAACGGCGTCATAACACACGTGTACAAAAGCGAGAAAGAACAAATTTAAATAGTGAAAAGGGAAAAAGATGTCTATTATTAACACAAAATACATTTTTCATTTTTTAAATATCACGGTTATTGTCAATACAATGGAGTCAGCGAGCAGGTTGCAGGTCTGCAGACAATGAGGATGATTACTGATGTTATAGGAGATCCTGATCAGATCAAGCAACGACAGCACACAGGTGCTTTTAAACCAGGAACTCAACGGCTACACCTTTATTTATATACAGTCTGTGTACGATGCTAGCCATGCTAACTAGCTGCTAGCCGCCCTGCATGCTGGACTCAGGGCTGCGCTCCCAGAAATTAGTTTTAAAACAGACCTTTATCGAAGCCTCTCACACGGAGGCTCCGACCTGTCTGCAGAGGAGACGCAACAGATCATTTTTTACCACATTTACCTTCTTATTACTAAATTTGGTGTAATTAGGGCTTTTTTCTCAAGAGAACAGTAAGAACAGCAAAATCTCATGAATCTCTTTCATCATTTCTAGTCCACTGTAGGTGGATCGGCCTGGAACCACGTACTAGTAATTACTCTTTTTTTTTGTTGCTGCTGCTGCTGTGAATATTTTCAAAAGGTTTTTGTCATTTCCTTTCGGCAGGTCGCTCAAATAAAGTAAATATACACGTCAGTTTGCTGCAGAGTTTCCTGTGTTAAGGTTCCAGAAATTCTCCGAAAATAAAAGTGTGGCAGTGGTCAGCCTCTACACACGTATACACTGCGTATTACTGCGCTGCTTCATGTGTATAAGAAACCAGCTCCAGTGTAACGTCATCGTCCCGTGTGTGATGCGTAAATCTACATCTTTATTTTCCCATGAAGTGAAAACTGCCCGAGTGGCGGCGTCCACATCCACATCAACAGCTCGTGGATCTTCCAGTGTTCAGTGTCTCTGATTCTGTTCGTTTGCTTTGGCTGCTGTTTTTCCTGAGATGCCGTCCGCTTGTGCTCCGAGTCTCCCGGCTGCCGAGCGCTTCCAAGGGTCACTGAGGGTTATGCCAAAAATCTGAAGCCTGTCTGCCAGGTTTACTGAATAAGCTCATTTCATGGTGTGAAACTGGCTCCGCTGGAGCTTTAGATATAATGACCTCAGACTCTGCTCCTCTTTTGCCAGCAGTAAAAATAAAAAAAGCACCATTAAAACCCGCTCAGTGTGCACTTAAGAAACATTCCACGAGGTCTAAGAGTTTGTTAATAGCTAATTATTTTTACATTTTAAATAGCTGGTTCTCTGCTGCTGAAGATCTTCCTGTTACACCGTGTATGGCAGGTGGTGAGTGCCACCAAGTGTTATGTCCTATGAGAAAGCCAAGTGGCGTTAGAGCAGAAAGAAATAATACTGTCCTTACCTGTTGAGCAAGGATGAGCAGGAGGGAACGGCAGAGAAGCGATAGCATCTTTCAAGTGAGAGGGTCTGTGTGAGCTCCAGGAGAGAGCAGGGGAGCGAGGGAGCAGGAAGGTGGGATCGAGGGGAAGGGAGAGAGGAATGGGTGGGTGGGTGTGTGGGGGGGATTGGGAGAACTGACCTGTCAGAGAAGGGGACAAAGCGCCCCTCTGTCTCCTCTCCAAACACACCTTTCCCCCGCCTTACTGATCCAGAGGGGAAATATTTGTCTTCATAACTGCCGGGTCGCTCCGCGGCCTTCAAGTCCTGCCCACTTGTTTATTCTTAGTCTGCAGACTCTGCTCACATTTATCTGGGTGACACCAGCAGTCAGATCCGTAAACCGTGTGACGGCAGGTCTGTGCTGCGTAGCACATTTCAAGAAATACCGTCCAGTTCATCCTCTACCGGACAAAAGCTGACTTTCATGAGGAGCAGGATCCTGGTCAGTAACTGCAGTCTCTTTATGTTGTTTGTTTAATGTGGTGCAGAAGCTGTACGTGCCCACTTAATGTGGACTGATGTGTTTGAGTTCACATTCCACTATTATTTACACTGAGTAAAGAGGGCCCTCTCAGAGGCAGCCCCTCCCCCTACATTCATGTGAGGCCGACGCCCCTTTGAGATCAGATGGAAAGACCAAAACAAAAACTGCTTATTTGTGCTGTAATGCTCCTGTTACTGATACTACTGTACTACCAGTAGTGCTGACCACCTGATCACTGCAGACAGTTTAAAACCGTGTATCTCGATTAAAGATTCGCCACCTGACTCGGCGTATCCCCGCTAATTTATCCTCTCGCCGTGCGGTGCGTTCGATGTCTTTCCAAAACGGTTCAATCGTCCATCGAGTATTTCACTCAGGAGAAACTGATGAGAGCAACAAGAGAGAATGAGAGGTTTCAGTTCAATGAAATTTACTGTGAACAGAAGGAAAAGACTTTGGTGCTCGGACCCCGGCAGGAAGTGGATCACCGTCGAAGCGGTCAATGGGTTTAAGAGACGCCGGTGGTGATGAGGACGGGGACGTCTTCGTGAGGCGAACTTCTGATCGGACGGGTTCGATTGGAGATGGTCTGGCGTCCACGGTTGAGGTGGTGAAGGGTTGGAGGTGGGGTGCAGAATAATCGCGGTGCCGAATGACAGCAACAATTTTTAAAGTTTGAAAGCTTATAAGTGATTGGCTGAAGACAAGAATGAGCGGGCGGAGCCTATAGATGGCGGGGGAAACACCCCCTCTGACGCAAAAAGGCACAGAGGACACCGTCTTCCTGATGAAGTCATACTGGCTGATTAAGTGTCGACTCAGAGCAGTTACTCAGAGAACTAAAGTTACCAGCACTGTACCGCTGGTTACTGTAGAGCTGTATATACATGCAGCACATTCTTTCCTACCCTGACTTTATTTTGGAAGTATTGCTTATTTATTCTGACTGTAGTATTTATACATTGAGCTGCTTCCTGCTTCGTTTGTTTGTTTGTTTGTTGGTTTCTTGGTTAGAGGACAGGTTTGTTGGGAGAACAAACATGTCTGAATTTGACAAATAATTGACCCAGAATACTTTGTAACTCGTGCTTTAGTTTTTACTCCGACTGTGGATGTGATTATTTTGAATATGAGAGTGTATCTATGTGTGATCTTACCTTTCGTGGCTCTCTGCTGTCAGATTTACTTTCCCTTCCTGAAAACCTTTGTCTTGTCAAAGCCGCCATAAAACCTGAAGACACGTGGCCGAGAAACTGTTTCTTCTCCGGGAGAAATTTTTAGCCGAGGAAATTGAATTTCTCAAATCCTCTTCCCTCATGACAGAACCCGCTGCAGAAATATGATTCACTCCAGAAAGGTGATTTTAACTCGGGTATTTAAGTGAATGGAGAAGCAATGATTGAGGGGTTTCTATATAATTATTCTAACATAGAAGCAATTTATTTATTCTTTTAGAAAAGTCGACAGCGCACAATTACGAATGGTCTGTGTTCGCATTGATGTTATAAAACTCGCTCCGTCTCCGTTTCTCGTTTTTTTTTTCTTCTTCACAAAGATAATCAAATTGCAGAGGAGTCAGAGTCCAAGATAAGAAGTCAAGTGTGAAGGTTGTAAACGGAGAGGATTTATATTCAGACTGTCCTCCCCCCCCCAAAAAAAACAAACGCACACACACACACACACACACACACACACACACACACACACACACACACACACACACAGACACAGAAAGGAGCGCAGTGTTGTGCAAACGCTGGCCTCACTTTTTGTCGAGGGAAAGAAAAACACCTTCACCTGTCTCAATATGTCCTCGACGGAACTTCTTCAAATTTGGTACAAACCTTCACTAAGACTCGAGGATGAACTGATTAGATTTTGAGGGTCAAAGGTCAAGGGCGTGGTGACCTCAGAAAACGCGGTTTTGGCCTCGTAAATGCAATATCTCTGTAACGCCTTGAGGAGCTTTCTTCAAATTTTCGTAAAAACTTTCACCTGGACTCAAGGAAACACTTTTTATCCATTACTTCATCCAAGACTTCACGCAGCAATTATGAAAAAATGGTTCATATTTGATAAGATTCTGGATAAAGAGTGGAGGAGTCAGACAACCACAAGGCGGTAAATCTAGTTTCCCTTAATATTGTGCCACAGATTGTAAAGACAGAGGTTAATAGAAAGTCTCCAGATATAATCATCTTTGTTTTTCTCTGTCTTTCTGGCTTGTTGACTGACAGTGGTGAAATCAAGTTAAGGACGAATAAGTTAAAAAAAAAAAATGATGAGAGAATCAATAGTATTCATAGTATTTGGGATCTGGCCCGGGGGCAACAAGAGGAAGTTAGCGTTTTAAGATAACGTTCTTTTCATCCCAACTGATTCTGCATATTCTCTATTAAATCCACACATGATAACACTTACACGATCTGGTTTCTCTGAACTGTCGGATGCAAATAAATGAAAATGTTGACTGTGCAAGTCAGAAGTGCAGTGTGGTCTGGACTGAGGCCACACTGTAGAAAACAGCCCCATAACACAAGGTTTTTATTGGTATGAGGAAGTAATTCTTCATCCTTGGGAAACCTGGTGCTGTAGACTTTCAGATGGCCGAACCCCCTCCCCAGACGCAACGTCAGGAAACAAGCAGCATGACTTCCCTCTGGGAATTTGAAGAATGTCCTGCGGTGCGTCCTAACGATGCTAATGCACATCTGCCGTTTGTTGTCGGCCTTTGTGATCAGTTTCTTTGAGTTGAATGCAGGTCCTCTCCCTTATCTCATCTTTAATGACCATAATTGTTCTCCTCATTTGATCTTACGCACTGCGTCCTGCAAGGTGTGTTAGTCTGACATTCCTGAGTGTGAGCCTTTCATTCTGACAGGACGTCTGTAAAAGTAATAATAATATATCAACTCTTTCCAATAGTCTATATCATCCTCCATTGATTTTATTGTGATAAAATTCTCATACATGGTAAAGTCGGCTGATTGGACGTGATGTGGAAAGGCACACACCTGTCTATAAAAGATCTCACAGCTGCAGATCAGAGCAGAACAGGCATCAGGTTCACCAGTAGAAGATGGAGGTGGATGGAGGGAATACCAGGGGATTAATTAGTGTGTTAAACCACATCACTACAGTTGGAGGTTATACTGCAAGATCAGATATTTATGTGGAAAACAAATACACTGTCTGTTACTGATACATTCTGTAAATTATTGTGTCGATTGCTTTGTGTTATTTTTCTTTAAATGTCTGTTAATTTCCACGTTTTTGTGTCTGAGGACGACCTCAAAGACAAAATGGTGCAAGTTAAAGATTATAGATAAATGTCCCGGACAACAGCGCTGTTAGGAGACAGGACCTAACGTCCCCCTGCAGCGAAACATTATCTAGGAAGTCTAGACGACTCTCAAGACATTGAGAGTGAATCTGGATCTGTTTGCTTTTGAAACATGAAGCATGTTGAACGTACAGATCAAACCGTACCACCACATGGACCGAATGAAGAGCTGGAGAGAGCTGGGCTCGTTTAACTTTTGATCCTTCAGACCTTTTATACGAAATTACGTCTGGATTTGATTTATTCTTCGTTCTTTTCGATGGTTTGATTTATTTTGACGTGACCACAGGACCGTGCGACAGTGTGGTAACGACACAGGTGACACAAACGATGGCCTGGTTACCGAATGATACGGTTATCCTGCAGGAGGCTTTGTTTGATTGTCTGTGAGAAGAATAAGTCGGTGCGCCGCCCCCCTCCCTCGAGCAACAAGAGAAATACAGACCGCTGATAGACAATCCTTTAATTGTGGCACCAGAGAATTTGAATGCATTTCAATCGAGGCCTATGACGTAACGTATTCTATTTCCTGGGAAGTGGGGGGGGGGTTGCGTGTTGCAACATGCAACACGCAACACGCAACACGCAGCGCTCACTCTTTACTGCATTTGTTTCTGCTCTGCACTGAATGGGCGGTCTTGTTTTCACCATGTAACACAGTTTGAGTGTATTTATGAAATGACTCTTTAACTCCTGCTCTTTTCCTGCTGCGCGTCTGACTTGGGAATATAAACCCCTTGAAAAGGAGTTCATATGTTGACCCTTCACAGTATGAGCCCCCCCCCCCACACACACACCTCATCAGAGAATGCCAAACGTCAGCCCTCTCCAGTTACCCCACCCCTCCACCCCCCCACCCCCACTCCCGGGAGCTCTGTTCCAGTTTTGTGAATGGTTTTGATAGTGACGTCCGCTCTGAGCAAACGCAGCAGTGCGAGGTTCACCCGGAGAAAGAAGTTGAGAGCGCAGCTCGGGCCGGGAGATGACCTGATAAGGTTGGAGAAGTGGGAGCCAGTCATGATGGAAGAGTAGTACGGAGAAGTCGGAGCCTCCCTTAATCCCTCCCTGCTGTATTTATCTGCTTCTTTTGTGTCACCAGCTTAAGACGCTCACTCCCCCCACATTGCATCCCATTATAGATGAATCACTGAATACCAGCTGGAATGTGCGTGTCTTTTAGCCAGTATTGTAATTGAACACGTTTGACAGCTGAAACAAAGGCCATATGATACCTATGCAATGTAAACAAGACGTTCATGTGACTGTGAAGATGTTTTTCACTCAACTTTTAAAACTGCTCCGACTGAGACGTGTGTGCCTCCGCCGAGAGATCAAACTCTCAGTGCGACGTCAAAATGTGTTTCCTGAGATAAATCTTATGAAAGTTTTTGAGTGAGAGAAGGCGGGGTGGGAGGGGTGGAGGCAGCTCAGCCATCATCACTCTGCAGCTCCTCCCACAGAGGGCAATCACCTCCCTCCCGCTTTTGTTCACTCCCATCACACGGAGGTTAAGTCACCCTCGGAGAGCTGCACAGTTCACCACAGATAACCACAGGCAGCTCTCAGAGCGGAGCTACGGCACAGGTGTGACTGCATCAGAGTGAGGACATTCTCTCTACCTGTTAATCATCAGCCTGGCTCACACATTAATTTCGGTCTTTCATCTCTGACGTTTGGCTGACGCCTGGCTCTCTGTCTTTTTACCTGCTTGTGCATCTTCTGGAGAATCAGACCTGATCTGTGACAGAGCGGCACATTTGAATTGTGCATCCACCAAGTGCCAGAGAAATGAATTTTGATGAAATTCTCCGTCTTATCGGAGGCTTTGGGAAGTTCCAGAAGACCTTGTATATATGGATCTGTCTACCTCAGATCTTTCTTGCGTTCCACATGCTGGTTTCTGTCTTCACTTCGGCTGTTCCTCCTCATTTATGCCGCTCCACGCGGACCTCAGCGGGTACTCCGGCCTCTGTGAACTTCAGCTCTCTGACCACCCCGGATGGCCGACCTGACCTGTCCTGCTCGGTCCCCTTGAACCACAGCGGCGCTGTCAGTCTCGGGGATGGACGCCCTGCTGGGAGCTGCCAGGGGGGCTGGGAGTACAGCACCCAGACCTTCCAAAGCACCATTGTCACTGAGGTGAGTTACTCAACTCGGGGGGGGGGGGGTGTTGAATTTCCTGAATATCGACATTTTCACCTGATGTTTTTAACATGAGGACTCCATGAAGTTCAGGAATGTGGAGGGGCTTAGCAGCTTTATTACAGTGAGCTCTGCTGATATCTGAGACAGGGTTGAACAGGGTGAGGGTCGAGACATGGACTCCCGCAGCGCAGGCATCCTCTGGGTCTCTCCACACACCCTGCCTTCCTGCCAGGTTTTGTAACACATGAACCTGAGGGGTGGGCAGCAGCGGTTACATGACCGAAATGATGTGATTGGACAAAGCAATGTCACATGGAGCTACATAACAGGTTCTCTGGGGGGAGATCTGCAGTTGATTTAGAAGACTGGAAGCCTGCCAGTCCACTACTGTGGACCCTGATGGGAAGATGCCCAGGGCTCTGCGATGTTCCAGCTGTGGACAATATGGAGGATGTTAGTGGTATATGCATTAACTGGCTCTAAACAGAGCAGTCTGCTTATGTCTAACCTCAAGGACAATGAAAGTCTAAATCTAGCCATAACTTGTGCCTTTTTATTAAAACAAGACTAGACCTCTGCAGGCTCAGGAGAACTCCTACCTCACTGCAGTGTAACTTCCACGGCACAAAACAAAAGTGTTGGACCAAACAAACGGATGATTTCTTGTTTCTTAGTGCCGTGGCTTAAGGGAAAGGCCACGAGGTCATCAAAATCAAACAGCTTCATCCCCTCTGGAGCATGAGTGTGCTCAGGAATCTGCCTGTTTGGGATACTTGTCATATATAAGTGGAACTAACTACTAAAAGTGCGGATACAGCACCAACATCATTAGGATTCATCCTGCGGGAACCATGAACGCTCACTGCTGATAACATGGAGATCCAGCATCCAGTACTTCTTGAGATACCTATGCCAAAGTGTTTGTCAAGTGGAGCTGTGGGCATAAACTGGCACCAAAGGAAAAGTGTTAGTCACTATCCTCTGGGGAGCATGAACGTACACGCCAGAATTCCTGACTTCACCTAATGTAACTGTGTTTGTTCCCTGCAGTGGGACCTGGTTTGTGACAGTGCCAGCCTGAACAACATGGGCTCCTCCATCTACATGTTTGGCCTCCTTGTTGGAGCCGCAGTGTTCGGGAGCTTAGCTGATAAGTAAGAGATGTCGTTTATCTAAAGTTCACCGTTGAATACTCGACGTACCTTCTAACTCCTTTTTTTTTGTTTTGTGTCAGCACAAAAAAGTTGGAAAATGTTTGGTCTCGTTGCAGGTACGGTCGCAGGATCATCATCCTCGTCAACCTGGCCATCCAGGCTGTGTTTGGGGTCGGTGCCGCTTTCGCCCCCAATTTTTACGTCTACACTGCCCTTCGCTTTATGGTCGGCATGTCCATCTCCGGTGTCATAATGAATGCGTTCGTTCTAGGTCAGTGCGCTGGAGAAACTTTAAGCTTTTTCTGCTTCATTTTCATTGTTTATTTTTGATTTAAAAGAGACATTCACTCAATTTAAAGAAAATAGCCAGGCAGATTGGTCTGATTTATGTCTTTCCAGAAATAATGTTGCAGGTGCTCACTGCTAACAGCGTCCAAAGGAAACTGTTTAGCTAATTGAAGCTATTTACCAGCTCCCAGGTTACTGAATAACAGGTTGTGGAGATCTCAAAACGTTTGGCATGAAACAAGGGAAGAGAGAGAGAGAGGGGTATGACAATCAACAAAGGTCCCTCAGCCTGAAAACCACTGGGCCATCGGACGACCCTGAGCAGGGTTTTTTATGGGTGATCTGTTTGTTATTTATTGAGAAAATAAAGGCAGTCTTCTGTCAACTCAAAATAAGCGCAGCAACAGTGTTTTGTACCTAAATGTGGATGAATAATCAGGCGACACCACCGAGAGGAATACTAAAACCTCACTTGAGGTTGGAGACTGCAAATTTTGAACGAAAGCTCACGTGTTGGTGTGGAGTCCAAAAGACGAGGGCATTTACCTGGTTTCTGAAGGGAGGGACAACAGTTGAGGGTATTTAATTGACATGCACCTTTAAATCTCTAGACTATCCCTTTAACACTGATTGTAGTTAATCACTTTACTATAAACTATAAAATGTGAACAGAAATAGCGTATTAGATGTTGATGTCATTTATTTTGTTAGTGTGTGTAGAGTCAGTTTGCCGTGTGACCTCGGCCCTGTCTCTGTCCCACACAGGCACAGAGTGGACGGGAGCCAAGCAGCGGATGCTGGCCGGTATAATCACGGACTACTTCTTCGGTTTCGGCTACATTATGCTGGCTGGAGTGGCGTACCTCATCAGAGACTGGCGTAAACTGCAGCTGGCTATTTCAGCACCTGGCTTCCTCTTCATCTTCTACATCTGGTGAGTGGGCAGCGGTGTGACCCAGATTTGGTGCAGTGTGTAAGGTATGTTTCCGTAGTTAACAAAAAAGGACTTTAACAGCATCTGTTAAAAAAAAAAAAAAGGTCTGTGATGTAGGAAATCCCACTTCATCCCCTGTGATTGAAAGCAAAAGGCGTAGCTAATACTGATTGTCATGCGTGTTCGGCACCACATTCCTCTCACACTTCTGGCGTAACAGTCAGGAAAAATGAACTGATCGAATCTCTCTTCGCCTCTCGCCGTAGATCTTACATGTGATGCTCATTTTTAATTGTCAGACAGAAAATGAATGAACGGCTGCGTTCCATTTCGCTGTTTGAGCAAATGTTTTTAGTCACACCAGCCCTTTTTTCTCGCCATGGCGAGTCAAGTTTGTCGACAGTGTGAGATGTGTGTGGAAGCGTTTCCCCCGCAGCGCAGCGGGTCAGGTGCAGGTGACTGTAAGTAGGTCATCTGAGCAATTTGTCTTTACAATTTCAGGGTGCTGCCAAAGTCGGCTCGCTGGTTAATGGCCAACGACAGGAAGGAGGAGGCGTGGGAGCTGATCCGGAAAGCGGCGCAGATGAACGGGAAGCCCCTCACCAAAGATCTGGAGATGTCTGAGGTACAGCTGCAACACGTCTATAGATATTTTTCATTTATTTAATCTTTACAAAGTACCTGTTACCATGGACGGTTCTCTGAGCCCTGTGCACCTTGTTGCTTCACCTGTGGAGCTTTTCATTCTCACACAGCTCATGTGAAAGTTTACAGTGATAACGGCACAAAATTTGCCATTTTTGAAACAGTGGGTCATTTATTTCACACAGAGATGAACCTGTGATTTTTGCCTGTGATTTTACCAGATATTAAAAACTATGGCTAACTAATTAGCCTGAAGTTAGCTCCATGAGTTGGTTGAAAACTTGTTTCTTTCATGTTTTTACGGCTCACACATACTTAATATTTTCAAACAGTATCTTTTAACTTTTAACTCCACAAGAGAAAAGGCTTTTAGGACGACGGTGGTTCAATCCCCGGCTCCTCCGGTCCGTCGCTAAAGTCGCCAGATGAAGTCACACACCAGTTTGCACGTCTGCGACGTCATGCTCTTGCTCTGGTAGCAGTGAGAGTGTAGTGCCTGTGTGACACAGGTTAAGCAGATGGCTCTGTCTAAGTCTGAACTGTCCTCACTTTGCATAAATGTTTTCAGGACTGGTGACTATCATTTAAACATGCAAACTCCTTAAACAGCTCCGTGTTTCATTGACTGTATAAGCCTGTCTCTCACTCAACTGTTTCACCAGATGTATAAAGTTGAAGAGAAAACAGAGCTGAGGAAAAAACACTCGTTCATAGACCTGGTTCGAACCCCGAAAATGAGGAAGCAGTCTCTGATTGTTTTTTATCTCTGGTGAGTACGAGCAGAAGCTTTTTGTCTTCACATCACTTTCAATACGTTGATATTCCCTCACGATATCCCGGTATCACCTTCACTGGGACTCGAGGAGGAACCGATTTAGATTTTGGTGGTCAAAGGTCAAAGGTCAAGGTCATGGTGACCTCTCAAAACATGGTTGTGGCCTTTTGAACGCAATATCTCTTTAAGCCTCGAAGGAACTTCTTCAAATTTTTTCTTTTTGGTTGTTTTTTTGTTCAGGGATAAAAACCAGAGCAGCTGAGTGATTTAAACTGTTCTTGTATCAGAGGAGGAGAGTTTATTAAAGTCACCCTGTTCAGGATTCTTTACTTTGGCACCATCAGGTGGTGGTGTGAGGAACGACAGCGGCAAACAGCCGCGGGGTTTCTTCTTTCTGTGAAATTCAGTTCCTGAGATTGTTTCATTTTACCTGCAAACAAACGTGTATTTAATCATAATGATTTGAAATTTTCTAACTCACTAACTGTGTCATCATGTCTCATGTGTCTGCTGAACACAGTCACTGAGTGTTGATAATATGATGAAGGTCAGAGGTCACACAGCTGTCTCCTAAATGATGTTTTTTCTTCTTCTCTTCCTCGGCCGTCTCAGGTTTGTGAACGTGCTCGTGTACTACGGCCTCTCCCTCAACATCTCCGACTTCGGGATGAACATCTACCTGACCCAGATGATCTTCGGCCTGGTGGAGATGCCTGCACGCACCATCACCCTGTTCACCCTCAACCGCTCCCGCAAAATCTCCCAGCTGGCTTTCCTGGCGGTGGGCGGCACCGCCTGCCTGCTGACCATCTTCATCCCCAGTGGTACGGACACACGGACTGTTCTCGTTCTATCAACTACATTTTTCAGCTCTTATCTATCCGTGTTTTTCATGTTTACTTTAAGCTTTTCCCGCCGCTTCCTTTTCCCTCGTTCCTCTAGACCTGTCTGTCATCAAAACAGTCCTGGCCATGATTGGGAAGTTTGGAATCACAGCTTCTCTGTCCATTATTTATGTCTACTCGGCGGAGGTGTTCCCCACTGTCATCAGGTGAGTAGGCCTTCATGTTAAGTTCCTCTCTCTCTCCCTGACTTCCCCGTCTCTCTCTCCCTGTAGCGACCTGAATATAAAGGGAAAAATGCCCCAAAAATAACATTTAAAAAAAAATCTGAGATTGACAGACGCTCTTCAGTGACACAGGACAGGACGTCTCCAGCAGCTGGGAGCCGCTTGTTTCTCTGGTAACTTCAGGTCCAGACGTCCTGGTTCGAATACAGAGCTCAAAACCACCGAGGTGTAAAAACTGTACGTGACTTTAAAAACTAGATAAAAGTCGATGTTGAGCTTCTGTCGGACAAAACACACTGACACATGATCGTAGAGGATATGATGTCACTGACAGGCAACCAATGAGATGTTGCCATGATTAAAATCACAGATTTCTCTGGTTTTGAAGACATTGATGGAAACATCTGGGGATAATGTGAGAACACATCTCAACAACATGTAAAACACGGGTCTAGTTGTTTTTAGACATTTTCAGCTACAGATTATATAAAAAACAACAAACATAGTGTATAATCAGTGATATTTATTGACAGTGACAGAGAAAACACAAGTGAAACTCTGTCTCCGGGTCCTGCACGGAGAATGAGACATAAAAATGCAAGTGGTCATATAATTTAAATATGTTTGAATATCTCTTATTGTAAACAGCTGCAGTTTGAGACAGTGGAAACTATAAGTGGAGAAAAGTATTTTAGAGCGTGTCCGTTTGTCTGATTTATTACAGATGTTACTTTCCTGGGCGATAGATACAAACCAGATGCTGGAAAATCTGACTTTAAAGTAGAAGTTGAATGTGCAGTTTGATGTATATATAGTGTAAATTCTACAGTTTGTTACGGGTCACCATCTCACAAAGGCAGGATACATGTCCTACTGATGTTGTTGCACTTTCTCCTTGTTGCTGATGAAGATCAATACGGATCAGAGGTTTCCTATAGGCTGTATAATTACACCACAGTTACACCGGCTCCTCCCCTCTCTTCCCTTCACTCTCTGATTCACAGACAAAATGGGATCGGCATCGGCTCCATGTGTGCTCGGACTGGAGGCGTCCTGGCTCCCATGATGTATCTGCTGAGGAGCATCAGTCCTCAGGCTCCCATGGTCCTGTGTGGTCTCTGCCCCCTGCTGGGCTCGGCCCTCACCCTGCTGCTGCCCGAGACGGCCAATAAGCCCCTACCTGACACCATCGCAGACATCGAGGGAACCGGCCTCAGGTCTGACACCACCACTGTTTTACCACTGATTGTAAAGGGTCACTTCACCCAAATTACAAACAGCAGATAGTTTTTACTGCAGGAAGTGGTAAATCACAACCAAAATAACAAGAATAGCAATGATCAGTAATAGAAGGGTTAAACATTTGGATATCATAACAGACATTTTGCTTGTTTCTGCCCTGTTTTCTCTGAAGAAACTGTTTTTATATTACATAGCTGGTTGTAGCAGTAAGAGCAGCACAGCGCATTCAGATTGAGTAACTTAGTGGGAGATGACAGGGTATAAGATAATTGTTGATAAGTAATATAAATAATGTTAAACTATCATTCTGTTTAGTATTTTTCTTTCTGAATCATGTTGTTTACCTGCAGCCTGGTAGCAAATGCTGCATGCATGTATTTTTTCATTACCTCAGATTTGACTTAACAAAATCAAAAACACTTGACTTAGACTAGAACCCTGTGGACTTCTACTTTGAGACTATCCTGAATATGAAAACTAAATCTGGAATATTAACTATTTAGACATAAACAGTTTTGTTGGTCATTGAATTGGGAAAAAAAAAACTCTTTAAAGGCAGATTATGTTTCCCTCTTCTAAAAGGATTTGAAGATCTAACACCAGACTGCTCTGTTTCCCCTCCGCACCCTGCAGTAGTACACGCAGCTGTAGCGAGGCACGGAGCTGCCTGTCAGTTAAATGTTCTCTTCACTTTGTTTGGCAGCGAGGAGGATGGCGGCGTGAAGCTCGTCATCTTCGACGCGTCTCTGAGGAACACGAACGTAGGCAGCAGCAGGATGGACTGACAAACACCAGCGGCACCGCAGCCAGTGTTTTTCAGGACTATACCAAAGACACAAGTCTATGCTTCCAGTGGAAGTCAAGATCAGTCTTTGTTTTGTTTGTGGGTCTTTGCAAGACGCCCAAAGTTTGTGCTCAAGTATTTTTACTCTTTTTCACTTTTTACATTTGTTCGTTTGTTTTTATACATTGTCTTCCAGTGTGTTAGATATCATCAGCTGACTGTTTGTCTTTTTTGATAGCTGAATGAAATTACTCACTTTGATTGTTGTGTAATGTTAAGAATGAAACTTACTCCATACGTAAGGAGTCGCTAGGAGCTGAGGATTCTGGTCTCATGGTCATCGTCTTTAAGCTGCCACAGCATCTGTATTTTGAACTTCAGGTAACACAGATTTATCATTTTTTAGGTGATTTCATTGAAAAGACACAAGTGTGTCTTTTCAAACTGCCTCAATTTACAGAAATCACAGCGCTTCAGGCATTAAAACTGCAGTAATTATTTTTGAGCACTTGGTGGCAGCAGAACAAACTGTAAACACAACACTGACATCACAATGTAAAGCTGTTTCAGCAAACAATTCCCTGTTTACACATCCAGTGAACAGAGTCATGCTACCTCATGAATGTGAGTCCAGTGTTCAGCCCTGGTCTGGAAAAGAAATCTTCTCTTCAGCTGCTAAATGCTCCACTGTCCTCACTAGCTAAATACTAACTTTGTCTGTCTGTGGTTTTGTGCTGAACACGTCGTGGATATTATGTGTATCGCAGCTTTTTTGCTGAAAGCAGCTGCCTGAGGGCAAAAAACTAAAACAATAAGCTAAAAGAGGCGAAAAAGCTGAGAAAGGGAGATAATTATCCCGTTATCTTGGGACCACAAATTTATGAACACAAATCCTTCCAAAACTGCGTCACACTGGCCGAGCATGGCTGAGTCCAGGCTGCGGAAGTCTCGTATCTTTCTTCTGTTTCTAGTTTTGAATCCACGGCGCTGTAGGGTGTCTCCTGTCAGCTCAGTGCAGCCAGGGAAAACTGATTGATTACCAGTGTTATCTGCACCAGCCATGCCAACCTATTACTTTGTGTTTTCCCTATGAGTTGGAATAGACACTTACTGGCACAAAGTCCAGATTATAAACAAATCTGAAAGTCAGTCAAGGATGAAGGGAAGTGAAGCTCTGGGTGGGAGGTTTGGTGTACAAGGTGAAATGTACAGTATGTCTTTTATTTTTATTCAATTGAAATGACTGACAGAAGAAAACAACAACTGAAAAATAATGTAAATTGCAGAAATATTGAATTTTCAATGATCAAGTAATAGTTTTGTTTTTAAATCCCTAGTTCAATTGTTCCATCCTTTAATGTCTCTGAAATGAAGCAACTTAAATGTCAATAAAACTGTAAAAACGGAGCCGTTGTAAAACTTTTGACCTCTAGTTTAGTTTTATATGCAGAGATTTTGTAGAACCAATGTCTGGTGATTAAAGTTGTTGATACACCTGATGTTATTTGTACAATAAAGGTTTGCTAGAAAATTTTTTTTTGTGTTTTAAGTTTCTTCCATCAGGTTATAAAAGCACTGGTCTCAGGGTGGTGTCGATTGGTCTCCAGCCAGAGGATGGGAACCAAAGCCAAGTTCAGGGACCAGGTGTGAGGCCCTCCAATGCCCAGGCAGCAGGGGCTGGGGGCCTGGAGCCAGTGCCAAGGGTTGACAAGCAAAGCCCAACACAAGAACCAGGTGTGAGGCCCTCCCAGCCACAACCCCAACCTATGCTACTTTAATTACTAAGTGTTTATTTTGGTTGTTTTAAATATGAATGTTTACCATGGACCTTTGAATATCTAAAAACCAAAGATGATGATAATAGTAATACTGTCTGTTTGTGTACAGTTAAATACATTTTTTAATGATAAAAAAAAACAAAACAAGCATTGAACAACGAATTGTGACACTGCAGCACATAAACACACTGTAACGCTGTCGTTATCAATAGAAATCCTAACATATAAAGTACATTTGCTGTATGTTGTTTTGTTTTTCAAGCAAATAACAGTTTAACGGTTTCTTTCGGTTTTGAATTTGAAATGAAAAACGGATTCTACACTAATTAATACTCAGACCGATACTTACGTTTACTTTAGTGCCCTGACCCGTTATAACATTACTTTTCAGCTGCGTCTTCTCTGTAAATGTCAGTTTGTTGAGATATTTCATTAGGAGACTTTAAGGTGCTGTTCGTCGTGGAGACACAAGATGGCGGCCCAACGTCAAGTTATAAAAACCGAACACTCACTGCAGCTACAGCGGTTAATCAGAAGTCAGTTAATAGACAGCACGTCACTTAGCACACAGCTCAAAAACTACATTCAGACCTTTCAGAAATTTAAAATAGCGCAATAAAACTGAATTTCTTGGTAGCTTCAGTGGAACTATACTTTTATGGAGACCTTAAATACTTTTATCTTCTACGTTCTTAAGCCTCTAAAGGCTAATAAAAAAAATCCGGAACATTTTAGTTCTGCTGTGATACCTGCATAAAATTCTTTTGAGTTTTGTCATAGTTTTATTAGACATCTTAATCGAAGAAATCTGTTACAACTACCACGCCCCTCCTCCCCCTTTTCGCTGTCTGATTTCTGATTGGACGGGAGTCCTGTCAGTCAAAGGACCAAGCCAGTCGTGCTCACTTCACTTGCTCCAAAAGCTATGGAATCGAAACTCTCGGTACATGTGTTTTTTTGTTTGTTTTTTTTCTTGATGAAAATACAGGCAACAAAAATAATAATCGAATTAACTGTCAGTTATTAATGGCGGCATGTGTTTCATTTTTTGAAAACAAACACCAAAACATTGCGATATAACAACGCCACTTCTAGATAAACAATTTACTGCAACTTAATCAAAATCACCGAGTAATTACGATAAATAATTAGCACGACTTTTGCCTCCTAACCGCGTCTCGACACGCCGGCCACTACAAAAACCTACAACCTTCCCCGGTCCTATTCCCTTTTTAATTCTTCGACGTATCCTACCCCCTCCTTTGCTGTTTTTGTGACGTTCGCTTACGCCTATGTAACTTTGATGTTTCCTACAGCAAGTGAAGGCAGCAGCAGTTTCATTGTGGCCCTGCAGAGCTAACGCCATCACACGCAGCGGCTACGACGAGCACCACGGTGACATCAGGGCCACCACAGCAGCGCAGTCCTCATCACTGCCAATTTATGTCATTATAACGGCAATGGAATATAGAGCAGCGGATTATTAGACGCGTTTTGAACTGGTAAGAAACACTTTGACATTTCTTTTTACTCATCATTCACATCGCTTCTATCCCTGAAGCGGAATGAATTACTTTGATTTTTTTTTTCTTTCTCCCAGGTATTATTGTTATTGACGTCTCTTGAACGTAAACGTGCTCAGCCTGTTAGCTAGCTACATCCCTGTCTGCCTCCTCTGAATGGAAAGGCTAGTGTAGGTGAGGCGTCGGCTGTTTTAAATGCGATCCCCTCTGTGTGTATTCAGTGAGACATATATATAAATAAATATATATAAATATATATATATATAAACACAGAAGCGTACATCTAGTCTGACTGAAACCCGAAGCAAATTAGACAAGTAGGTTATCCACGGTCATTGCTATTACGTTGTTTATGTTCACACAGGAGGCGTTTAGCCTTCAAATCGTCCTGACGCATTGGTTTTTTGATCCTCTCTGCTCGGTTGTTTACCATACTCTCCCCCCTTTTTGCACTCTCCCTCGCTCCCATCATCATCATCATCAGCAGCAGCAGCATCAGCAGCATCAGCAGCATCTCCTACTGATGCTCGGAGGAGTCAGATCAAGGACACAACCTCACATGATTCACAGTGGCTGTCTTATCTAGGAGGCTTTTTTTTTTTTTTTTGAGGCTTGTGCATGCACGCAGTTAACTTTGAGGACCAGGTTGCATTCCTCCACATACACGGTGTTGTTGTGCAGGTTGAAGTGCACAGGCATCGCTTCTGATTCTGACTGCTGGACGATAACGTGGTGTTTTTACTCTTGCACCCCTACTGTGTGTTTGCAAGTTTCACATATCAATCCTGCATTGTAATCCGGCTCATATGCACTGTGCTGCTCTTCCTCTTGTTCTTCCTAATCACCGAAGGGAAGTTTCTCCACCCTTTCCTTTTGTGAATTGGGGTTAAACGCTCTTGTCACCTCTGTCTCCTTTTTTGAATTATTGATGGGCATCCCTTCATCCATTTCTTCAGCCCATAAAAACCTGGCCAAGTCTGAACCGCAGCCAATTGTTCTGCACATTTATTTGTGTTAAATTACCGTAATTGATTATATTGTTGGTCACTGGTGAAGTTATTTAAGGCGCTACTCAAGGGAAAGACTGCAGGAACTACAGTCTGATGTCGAGTCTGGAGAAGTACTATTATCCCTATTTTCAGAATCCCGGCTTCCTTTGGGTTTTTGAACGCTGCCAGCAGCCGGTCTACAGCTCGCTGACTCCCCCGAGTTTAAGACTTTTGCACCAAGAAGACAAAGCTGCTTGTTTTACCACCATATGATGTGATGGCCAGCTTGCAGGTGCAGTGCATGGAAGCAATATAAACCGTGAGCGGATGCGTGTCCACAGGCCGCCGGGATGATCTCTGATGAGATGTAGTTGTAGTTTTCGGAAACTAAACTCAGGAACCAGTGTGCTTTAGGAAATACAAGCTTTACATACACAAAATAAGGTGCAGATCATGTTTTACAAATCCTAATCATTTGACATCTGTTGGGCATTTGGCATTAATCCTGCCAGATTTGAAAATTAGAGATAGGAGATAAATCCTTGCCTCCATGTTTGTCTTAAATCTGCCGTTTTTTTGTTTTTTTTTTTGCAGTGGAGTTGTGTACTGCAGATGTCCCCGTCTGACTCGTCGGCTTTTTTGCAGAAATAAAATCCTGCTGTAGTCAGGTTGAGTTATGAGTCAAGAGCCACTCCTCTGTATTCTCTCTGCTGGTGCTATACAATAGGAAGAGGCGTGCACGATATCTGTTGGTGTTAAGCTCGTTGGCCCGTTCAGACAGACACTTTCAAACGGCTTCTCATCCTTTCTTTTTTTTTTTTTTTTTGCTCTGTGGCGAGACGCTGCCAAAGAGCTCTGTTCCTAATCACACTTCACCCCGCCACTGACTGACGGAGGGATACTAAGTGCTGGCAGGAGAGACCTGATCAGGCAGGTTGTCACACACAGAGGTGAGAGGGTTCGGACCGTGGAACAGGAAATCTTAACGCAGTGCTATTGTGTGTGTGTGTGCGGTGTCTGCTGATGAGTTGCTCTTCTAAGTTGAATAGTACGAATAATAAACTTTAATCCACAGTTTGGTTTTTTAGATTTCATGCATGTTTGTTGTTTGTGTGAAATTTGTTGTTTGAAACAGAATGCGGCTCAATTATATAAAGTTTTATCTCGATTATCTTGTTTTCATGATCGTTGGAAGCCAAAAATCGTAGTCTCTAAATGAGATCAGATTAATCGCCCAGTTATTTCCAAACTGTCCCACAGTTTTCACACATCCACCTGTTTCCTCCGCCTGTTCCACCTTTGTCTGTTTGGATGAGTCTAAACACAGCTTTGGTTGGATGTCGAAGAGGTCCGTCTGAGTTGTTTAACGTGTTGAACACGTTGTGTACTTTACTGTCGACTGGTTCAATCTGTTATGGGAGTTATAGTTTCAGTGGTTTCTGCTTTTTCTTTTGTGGCTCCTGATGTCTTTGGGTCGTGGAGCCTGAACACTGAGCGGTGTTTGCTCATGACCTCTCATCCCAGGTGATGGTGTGTTTGATTGGTTTTTAAAGCAGTTTTAGAGGCTTGAATAATTGAAAATAAAGTATTTTTTACAAGTGAAAAGCAAAGAACTGAGAAAATAATAAACAAGCATCTTTTTCTCTCATGGTTTGACCCCCTCAGATTTGGTCATGACCCCTTGTGGGTTCAGACCTCTTGGCTGGGAACCACTGATGTAACAGGATAGGTACGTTGCATAATAGGTAGAACTTTTTGCTGCTGTACTTTTCTCACTGCGGTGGAATGAAAACAATCCTGTCACAAGTTTCGCTTTGCACATTAAGAGATGTTGATATTTTCTGATGTTCTCTGTGATCACAGATTTGGAAGATTGTGGTCCAGGTATTTACTCTTGAGTGATTTCTATTTTTAAACTTGCCTTGGCTTTGACCCACTTTGGACCCAGTCTGACTGGGACCCCCCCCCTCTCCTGCTGGTGAGGCTGTGTCTTGCAGTGCTGTGATGTAGCTGTCCTCAGCGGACCCCCGGCTCAGAGAGGGGGAATACACCTTAGCGGGACGCGCAGGTGTGAAGTGTACTTACAGTGGTTACATCACTCCTAATGTCACTCCGGGCTCCGTACGCTCTGTGGCTGGTGCCATTTTGAACAGATGTGGCTGCACAGAGCTGATATCGGCCACGGTGAAGCTCCAGACCTCATCAGTCGCCGGCGTTATGTAACCTCTAATCTCTGTTACTTCAAAATCACACACTTTACCCAAACAGGAAGTCTTGGAGAGTTGTTCTGGTACTGATACCAGTTTTAGACAAAGATTATAGTTTCACACCTGGATGATGAATCAATTCTTCTTCATCACTGTAAAGTCGTGGCCTGCACAGGAAGTTGAGTTGTCCACTCTGCTGTTACACAGTGGAGAAGAAGAAAGTCAGATTGGATCATAAAATAATAATATCTTTTGCATTTGTGTACTTGTTCAATCTGAACGCAGAGTTCAGGCATTAGAGCATCTCTAATCTCCATGACAACTGAGCAATCAATATCCCATCTCATCTGCTGATGAGCAAGTGGACCCTTTATTTTTGGTTTGTTTGTCGTCAGAGTAAAATTTCTAGATATCGTATAAACACACAAAAACAATTCAACAACAAACCGACATCACCTTATATAAAGAACCTGTGGCCCTTTGCTGTATGTCATCCTCTCTCTCTCTCTCTCTCTGTCTCTCTCTCTCTCCCTCTCTGTCTCTCTGTCTCTCTCTCTCTCTCTCTCTCTCTCTGTCTCTCTCTCTCTCTCTCTCTCTCTCTCTCTGTCTCTCTCTCTGTCTCTCTCTCTGTCTCTCTCTCTCTCTCTCTCTCTGTCTCTCTCTGTCTCTCTCTCTGTCTCTCACTCTCTCTGTCTGTCTCTCTCTCTCTCCCTCTCTGTCTCTCTGTCTCTCTCTCTGTCTCTCTCTCTCTCTCTGTCTGTCTCTCTCTCTTTAATGGATCTTTGTTATTACAGCAATATCAATAATTCCTAGATTTTTTTATTATTATTATTATTATTATTATTATTATGTATTTTATTTAACAAATCATCCCATTTGAAATTATGGCCAGTTTGTTAATGAGTTACGAGTTTGAAATAGTAAAAAAAATTCATAATAAATGAAAAGTATCGTAATGTTCAGGACCGAGGTGCGTACTGAAATGTTTTGCGTATCCTTGCACCTCTAATATGTAATGATTTATTAATTATACGGAGGCGGCTCATGCACGTCCATAGATAAGAGTACGTGCACGGTGTAGACGGCCTGGGATACCCCCAGTCCAGGAGCTGACGTCGTCACAGGGAGCTCGCAGTGGGTGTGGCGGCCCCGGCTCATGGCGCTCAGCATCACGCCAGGACCTCAGAGGTCAGCGAGACGACCACAACAATGCCGTCCTTTGTGTGACGCTTCCAGTGGAGAGGGGGATGAAATGTGTCTCTCTCTCCTCTCTCTCCCTGCGTCCCTGCAGTTGGTGGCGGAGTTGTGACGTATACTCGCAGGCTCCAATGAAGTTATTGTTACAGCCGGATAAATGAACGCAGGGTATGAAGAGCCGGTGGGGACGTAGCGCTGACATGTGAGAGCAGAGCTACAGATCATATGATCCGCCCCTCCAGCGTCTCGCTACCACAACTCCCCGGTTTTCTTTCTCTGCTAATTAGAAAACCCAGAACTTTCCCTCTTACACGATCCATCAGCTTCATTAAAAACAGGGATGTTTGCGAGCCGGGCCGTCTGCCGCTGGATCACTGTTGCAGTGATACCATGGGAGGAAATGATGTGTGAAAGCGATGCACTTGCATGAAAGCTTGTCAAAACCAGGGGCCCCACGGAGATGTCCGTCTTAGGGGTGTTTCTTCAAAAGGAATTCAATTAGCAGGAGTTGTTTGTCTCGCTTCGAGGAGCTGGAGTGACACAGATCCTATCACGCTGATCGCATCGCGCACAATCCCTTATCAGC